TCAGGGGACCATATGGGATACTGGGGATTGAACCTGGATTGGCCACATGCAAGGCAGACCCCTACCTGCTGTACTATTGCTCCAGCCCCAATTAGTGAACTTTTTTTTTAAATCCTGTTTTCTGTTTAAAACGCAGCCCTTCTTTTTCTCTCCTGCCTTAGGACCAATTATGTTAGACAATTCTCAGAGGTCAGCAGAGTTTCAGGTAACATATCAACTCTTTCTCCTTTGGATGCATTTTCCCCTGAATTACCTATCAAATTAAACAAAAGTTCAAGGTGGGACCTAAAGTTCCTGGAGGTCCAGAGTAAGAGATTGGGGGTGGGGGAAAGGAAGGCCATCAGTGAAAGATTTAGTGGAATCAACAGGCCGGGATCAGTTCTGATACCTGCAAGATAAATTATCTTTGACAAGTCACTTTCCTTCTGGCATTCACAAAGCCTCCATAGGGCACTGAAAAACTATATGTCTATCGAGGAAAGGCATGCAACAAAACAGAAATGATCCCTGACTTTGGGGTACGCTCCCATCTACTCGTTTGACCCTTTCTTAGGATAGTAGTGTGTGATCCTGAGAAGAGCCGATGCAATTGCTATCTTCTCTTTCTCCTGGTGCATGGAAGATGAAAAGAAGGCCCAGAGAGCATGCGGGGCTGTCCAAGACCTCCGATTCGTGGGTGGCAGAGCTCGCCAGACACAGTGGAACTTACTGCTGTGGGAAAGGAAAACCAAGAGAAGGATAAACCACTCTGTGTCCCTTCTGGAGAGAAGGGGACTAGGACCTTTGAGATCTCTCCCAGGAGTCAGTTCTGTTCGCCCTCTTTCCGGGTGAACTAGATGTCAGAGTAAATGCTGAAGTCTGACACACACCCGCGCCCGGCCGGACCCTCCAAGTCTGGCATAGCGGTGGGTGGACGGGAAAAGTGACACAGTCTGGTCACGACGCCCTCCTCGCCAGCCTCCCACGTACAGCAAGGGGGGGAGTCCGGTCCTCGTCGGGCTGCTGGCCTGGGCCGTGTGTGGAAGGGGGGGCGGGGGGAGGTACCCTCGTGGTGGTGCCTTCTGGTGCTCCTCCCGTGCCTACTACAGTCTCTGGCTGCCCGGGATCCGCGGCTCCGGGGCCTGCGCGCGTCACTTTGCAGCGCCGCTGCGGGGCTCGCTGGCTCCTAAGGCCGCCGCCCACCCTCCCCCCACCCCACCCCCAGGAGCTGGATGACGGAGTCTTGAAAGACTTTCACCAAATATGGGCCGGAGCTGGAAACGTCCTGCTCCGCGCGCCGCCGGAAACCTCGAGTCTTGGCATCCGCGCGGGCTGGAGGCGCGCAGAGCCGGCAGGGGGCGGCGGGCCGCGCCCGCGGACTCTGGCCCGCTGCCCTCCGGTCTCGCGGACCCCGCACGCCGGCTCGGCCTCAGCGCTCGGCCCCCAACTTCCCGCCCCCACCCTCCACCACGGCTTTCCCTTGCTCCCCCATCCCGGAGCTCCCTGCAAAGCGGCGGGGACCGGGGAGGTGGAGAGTAGTTAGGTTAGGACGCGGGGGCTCCACCTTCGACCTGGCCTTTTGCTGTCCCCGTCAATGACTCTGTTCTTTACAAGTTGGCTGTCCCGAGAGGAGTTGTGAAATTGGGGCGTGCAGAGGAGTGCACCGTGGGGACTCCACGGGGGAACCGCCCGCTTACACCTATCGCAGGAACTCCCGCCGCCCGAGAGAGGGGGGTTCCCTTGCTAGGATTCCCTGGAGCAGCGGGGAATCTGCATCGTACCTTCTGGTTAGAAAGGGAACTATTAAGAAATCATAGCGGGGGTCCCTAGGGCTCAGGTCTTTCAGCGACACCCATCAGCGCAGGTGACTCTGGGGCTTGCTCCGTTGGAGAGCCACTCATTTGGGGCTGGGAACCCGGAGTCATCAAGTTTAAGGTGATGATTAGTTTCAGTTGCCGCCAGACAGTGAACCCTTCTTTCAGTGACCTAAAATTCCCTGGCAGCGCCCGGGTGAGAAACGTCCCCTCGGCTCAGTCCAAAGCCAGGAGCTGCAGAAGACAAGCGGCCCCTTCTCCATGCTTGCAGCCAGGCAAACAAGGCTGCCTGTTATGCCCTCATGGGGCAGCGAAAAAAGCAAAAGAGCCATGCAAAATTAGCACCCGAAATAACACTTACCAGTGAACACTTGTACTTTCCTCCTCCAATCTGTCAGCGGGATCTGATCTGCATTTCTCATCGGAGAAGGCGAGAAGGCGGCAGGCGGTCTGGGGTTTCTGGCCCGTCTAGGGTAGGACATGAGGAGCTGCGGCTCATGCAGTAGACTGTTAGCAGGCATACTGGGACATACTCCATGGAAAGGCTGTGCACATAGGTTTCCCCCATCTCTCTCATAGGTTACTCCCATCTCTCTAGCTCCCCCACCTCCTAGTCCTGTTGGTTCAGATCCCCACCCCAGTCCCACAACACACCCCCTACTTTAAATGGGCAGCTGATGGTATGATTCTCTACGTTTCTTCTGTGGGGTAACCTCATCCTGCAAGATTCTCCAGTAGAAGTCCAGAGACAAACCCACACACCCTTGTTAGCAAACTTTAATCTGATTTTAAAAAGAATCTCTGGTATGGTGTGTGTTTAAATGCTGGACAGTGAACAGAAACTCTTTGCCCACCGCCTACCGCCACCCCCCCCCCCACACACACACACCTCCACCCCCACTCCAGTAAAGGAACAAAGTATATAAATGGTCAGTTGGATCATCCATTGTAATTTTCTCTTTAAATCGTGACAGACAGATTGCGTGAAAAACACGGAATTCCAAAGAATTTCCTGCTCTGGGAACAGAAGTGAAGTCTATATTTAACAACATTTGAAGCTGTCAAGAATGCTTTGTGGTTGGATAACAGAGGCAGAAAAATGTTAAAAACGCAGGCTACTGCTGTACCCAAATATGGAAATATTGTTACGTCTGGTGTCTGATTCACCATCTGGAAATACTTACAGCCATGAAGTCAAATAGAAAAGACGCCACAACAGAAGCCAGGAACTCCTCTCCGTTCCTCCTCGCTGTTGTCTCTCCACCTCCTCCCACCCACCAGGGACTGGCCTACTCAACCCTCAACCTCCTCACCCCTCCCAGTGGCTTCACTAAGAGGGCAACACTAAGGAAACTCCAAATCAGGAGAAACTGTTTCCTAAATAATAACAAGTGGATTGGCTTGCCCCCGACTTTCCTCACTTTAGTTCCATGTCATGGGATAATCTATTGTCCTACAAAGTCAGAGTCCCACTCTAAGCCCCTCCCAACAAAGCCTTCTAGTATCATAGGTCTTCCAGCAAAAGCCTCCAAGACTTATGAATGAATGAAACTTAACTCTTTCCTGCCAGTTCTTTTCTTTGGGCAACCCATAGCTGCTTGTAGTCCTTAATAGAGTCACCAAAAAGTGCTCAAGACCTTCTTGCTTATCAAAGCAAGTCTCCTAACTTATTAAGCGTGAACTTATTTAGTATGAACAGCTCGAAATATTTGAAAGTACAGGGAGTTCTCGGTGAGGACATGCTGACACAATTACTTGTATATGCTTTTTATTAAAATTACACAAGACAATTTGATTCCTTGAGGGGGAAAAAAAAGTGAACCAAAGTTGTTAAATTGTTCCTAGGTATCTGCTTATACATTTCAGTGTGCCACGGGGAGAATAGGATCTTAAAATCTGCTAACAGTTTTATTACAGAGGAGTGCTTGCTTCCCTAGTTATGTCTCTGTTTCTGTGTCTCTGTCTCTGTGTCTCTGCCCCCTCCCCCTTGCAATTCACTTGAAGAGGCTTTTGAGTGGTGCCAAGAAAGAGTTAAAAGACCCCGCAGAACTTGCAGCTTTAAGGACTCTCTTTTCAGAACTCAGCCTTTAGGACTCTCTTTTATTCCAGAAATCCCAGAATCACCCAGAATCATCGCGAGCTGGGCTCTGGTTTGACCTGGCGGGACACACCGGTGGGGATCTCAGGCATAAACCACTCCACGGTGGTCTCGTCCTACTGGTTGAGCGGTTCTGGCCGAGGTGGTTCCCGCCGCCTCCGGTCTTCCCTCGGCGGGAGGCTTCAGCCGGACTCCTGCATCCGCGAGGAAGTTTAAGTCACATTCCCGGAGAACTCCCTGTCTGCGTTTCCTGTCGGTCTTCCAAGCCCGGCTGTGGGCTGGAACTACAGCGGGAACCTCCAAAAACAAACAAGTAAGACATCCCCCCCCCCCCCACTACAAAAAGGGGGAGGGCGAGCGGAAGAGGGAAGACCTCTGCCTGGGAACCTGCCAGATGGTGGGGGAAGCTCAGCCTCTGTGCGTGTGTGCGTGTGTGCGTGTGTGCGTGTGTGCGTGTGTGTATGTGTGTGTGTGTGTGTAGCGCGCGCTCGCCCGCGTGTGTTCTCATTCATAAATGCCAGTGCGGGTATTCCTTTGCAACGCACTCAGCTTAGCTAATAAACAGCATGCCAGCATTTGGGGACTCGATCCGAGCATGCCTCTATGAAGTTCACAAATAGATTCCTGGCTCAGAGACACACACTCCCCTCCCCCTCTGCCCGTTTCGCCTCGCTCCCTAGAGAACACTCTCACCTTCGCTGTAAACAAGCAAACAGCTCGCCGCCTTCCCCGGGTTAGAATTTCCAAAGCTGCCCGGTCAAGTCGGCATCACCCAACAAAACGACTTTTGTTCCTCCCTCTCCGATCCTCCCACCTTCCTAGGTCCAGGCAAAGTTTCGAACTCTCCACCGCCACCACGCCAAAAAAATATTTAAAAATTAAAAAGCCCATGAGGAGTCGTTATTTAAAGTGGAAAAAACGTAAGATTGTTTTCTCGACGGGTCCAAAAAAAAAAGGGGGAAAAAAAAGGTGCAACGGAGCCAGGGGAGGCGCTTGGCAGCGGCCCGCGCCAACGAGCATTCCTGAGATGTTTGAGAATTCAGGAACGCGCAGACACAGCCGACGTCACTGCAACACGCGGCGCCGTATAAGAGGAGGGTCCTGCGCGCCGGGGCAGACCGCGAGCGAGAGCGCCCCCGAGCAGCACCCGCGTCCTCCGCGCCGCCACCGGAGCTCCTCGGCAGAAGCCCGTCGGCAGCTGCCCGCCTCCCCGCGCCCGTCGCCCTCCGCCCGCCGCGCCGGGCCCGCCGCTCCGCGCCGCCGTTGGTGTGTTGGCGTCTCAGCTCCCCGCGCGCCACAATGAGCTCCCGCACCGCCTGGACGCTCGCCTTCGTCCTCACCCTGCTCCACTTGGCCAGATTGGTGAGTTCTTGGACCGTCGCGACCTCGTCCGCGCTCCCGGTCGCTTTCCCGCTCCGAACCCCCAAGACTGCCAGAGCAGGGAAATTCAAAGTTTTCCAAGCGCGTTGCGGGATCGCTCTTTTCTTACGCCCCGTGGAAGAAGACTTGGGGGGTCGGGGGAGGGGACCTCCGTGGGGGTGGTCCTTAGGGATCCAGCCGTCCGGGGTGTTCGGGCTGGATGGAATCAGTCACCCTGGGTACACAGGCACCCCGATCGCGACCCCTACCCTGGACATCTCTCCAGCACCTAGTCTCACGCGTGTCTTTCCCTTGCTCCAGGCGCTCTCCACCTGCCCCGCAGCCTGCCACTGCCCCCTGGAGGCGCCCAAGTGCGCCCCGGGAGTCGGTCTGGTCCGAGACGGCTGCGGTTGCTGTAAGGTCTGCGCCAAGCAGCTCAACGAGGATTGCAGCAAAACGCAGCCCTGCGACCACACCAAGGGGCTGGAATGCAATTTCGGCGCCAGCTCCATCGCTCTGAAGGGGATCTGCAGAGGTAAGATGCTTGTGGTTTGGCCCCTTTAAAAAAATAATAGTCCCTGTAGTCCAGAAGTTTAGTAATTTTGAGACCATGTATGGTGATGCTTTGTTGTTGGTAGCTTGGCAGAAAGGCACATGATTTCAGCAGTCTGGAATGCAATTCAGTGTGTCTGGGCCCAACGAAAAGCGCATACGGAAAAGTGATTCCTGACTAACTTATTGTTCTGGTCTGGAGTCTCGGGGGATTTGTAGGGACCTTCACCATAAATTGAATTTAACAGCAGAAAACTTTGTATGCGTTTCAGGCCATGGGTTCAGAACTTTAACTTGATCTTCATCCCCCGTTCTCCTTTGGTGCTCTTTGCAGCTCAGTCAGAAGGCCGACCCTGTGAATACAACGCAAGAATCTACCAGAACGGAGAAAGTTTTCAGCCCAATTGTAAACATCAGTGCACATGTATTGATGGCGCCGTGGGCTGCATTCCGCTATGTCCCCAAGAACTCTCTCTCCCAAACTTGGGCTGTCCCAACCCACGACTGGTCAAAGTGACTGGGCAGTGCTGTGAGGAATGGGTCTGTGATGACGATGGTGCCAAGGACCCTGTGGATGACAGGGACGACTTCCTGGGCAAGGGACTGGCATTTGATGCTTCAGAAGTGGAGTTAACAAGAAAGAATGAATTGATTGCAGTTGGAAAAGGCGACTCCCTGAAGCGGCTTCCTGGTGAGTGGGGAGACTGAGCTCCTGGTTTTGTTCTGAAATACATTCCTAGTTGGAAGCGCTATAGAAGGGAGTCGTGGGATCTGTTTGTGTCAGCGTGCCTTTGGAAAACACATGAGAAATGATTCCCTCTTGTTTGTCTCTCTAGTTTTTGGAATGGAACCTCGAATCCTATACAACCCCTCTTTACATGGCCAGAAATGTATCATTCAGACAACTTCATGGTCCCAGTGCTCAAAGACCTGTGGAACTGGTATTTCCACACGAGTTACCAATGACAACCCTGAATGCCGTCTGGTGAAAGAAACCCGGATTTGTGAAGTGCGGCCTTGTGGACTGCCAATGTACAGCAACCTAAAAGTGAGTTCCATGATCTTTGTGTCCCAGAGTGGGCCATACTGCAGAGGGCAGCAGGGGGCCCCTGAAACAATCCAAGGAGGTTAGGATAGTAACCTGGGATGGATGAGATGGGGGAGGGAGGAGAAGAGACTTTCTGTTTGTTGACCTATAGAAGGTATATTTTAGGGGATTTTTTTTTTTCCTGAAAGGGTGCCAGGTAAGTTTGGGAACCTCTGGTATAGACTGATCCCGGGAAGCTGCTTGAATTTTTTTCCCTCTCTTCCAAGAGTAATATAGCTCTAATTTTTCTCTCTCTCTTTCTTACAGAAGGGCAAGAAATGTAGCAAGACCAAGAAATCCCCCGAACCGGTCAAGTTTACTTATGCTGGGTGTTCTAGTGTGAAGAAATACCGGCCCAAGTACTGCGGTTCTTGTGTAGATGGCCGTTGCTGCACACCCCTGCAGACCAGGACAGTGAAGATGCGGTTCCGCTGCGAAGATGGGGAGACCTTTTCCAAGAACGTCATGATGATCCAGTCCTGCAAATGCAACTACAACTGCCCACATGCTAACGAGGCAGCATTTCCCTTCTACAGACTGTTCAATGACATTCATAAATTTAGGGACTAAAGGCTACCTGGGTTTTCAGCCTCAGGAACAGGAGAGAAGTGCGCCAGAATCACGGAGACATGGGTGGGGGCGGCGGGGGTGAAGGGACTCATTGTAGAAAGGATGCGTTGCTCATTCTTGAGTAGTAGTAAGGTATTTTGAAGCTGCCAGGTATGCTGATTGCAGATGGACACTAATGCAGCCGCGATTGGAGAATTCTTTGCTTCATAATACTGGAGCATATATTACTGCTTCATTTTGGAGCTTGTGAGATAGATGATATTCTGTTTGTAAATTATTATTTGGTAAGCATATTTTTTTTTCCTCCAGACTTTTTTTTTCTTTTCGGCTCTACAGTTGTAAAAGATAATAAGACTAATTGGACATTAAAGCCTTTCATTCTCTGACGAACGTAAACAGGAGGTAAATGTTCTATCCTGACCTGCAGGTGACACTCTGTGAGTGTCTTCGAGAGGCGACTTCCTGCACTCTCAACTGCAAACAGAAATCAGGTGTTTTTAGACTGAATGTTTTTATTTATCAAAATGTAGCTTTCGGGATGGGAGGGGAAATGTAATACTGGAATAATTTGTAAATGATTTTAATTTTATATTCAGTGAAAAAATTATTTATGGAATTAATCATTTAATAAAGAAATATTTACCTAATATTGAAATGTTATGACATTTACTATTTCAAACACTGTCCAGAGTTACTGGGAGCAATCTAACTTATGCCTTCAACCATTAAAACGGGACCTTCTGTTTTGTTTTGTTTTGGGACTACAACTGGTGGTGCTCAGGGCTTACTCATGGCTCTGCTCAGGAATTAGTCCTGGTGCAATCAGGGGATCATATGGGGTACTGGGGATTATACCCGGCTTGGTTGTGTGCAAGGCAAGTTTCCTACCTGCTATACTATTGCTCTGGCCTCAGCAAACAGAATTTATTGAATGCCTACTTTGTGCCTGGAATTGCAAGGTGCTTGAATTGAGCAGAAAACTCACACATAAGAAGACAATGATTGTTTTTATATTGTTAATATAGAGTGTCTTTGCATCTAAAGAAGTCTGCAGGGGTGGAAAGATAGTACTGGAGGCAAGACCCTTGCTGGTTTGATCCCTGGCATGGCATAGGGTCCCCTGAGCACCACCATTAGTGGCCCCTGAGCACTTCTGACCGTGTCCCCTGCTCCCCAAAAAGAGAAATCTGCACAAAGTATGTATTGAGCACCAAGTATTATAGGCAGTGCAACAGGGAATCTGAAGCTAAATTTGCTTAAATCTTAGTTTTTATAAGAATTCAGGGCCTAAGGGTCTCCATCACCAATCACTATTAGGAGTATTTAGTAGAGTCATTTATCATTTTAATCACCAGGTCATTGTGCTTGTCACCACTTCAGTAGAGGAAAGAGTCTCTTTAATGAAAACATTTTATAACTCAGGCTGTCCATTTCTAACTACATGGGTAAGATTGAATATGGGTGGATAATGTGTTACCAAAAATCGCTTACTTGTACCTTTATATTTTTCCAGTATTGCTCCTAAAACTCAGGAGAACTGCTTAAAAATTCACTTCTGGTTGCGATCAGGGAAAAAAAAAAAAAACCTTGGAGTCTATAGGAGTCAGTGTTCTCACTGAAGAAATGACTTGTGTTAATCCTAATAAGCCAGTGATTGGGTAAACATGCTGTTAAATGCAAAGGAATGCAAGGAATTTCAAGTACTTTTCCAATAATGTGAGGACCAAGCTACTCAGCCCCCTTTCCTTTTTATAACATACATTATATTGATGGAGAAGGGTGTAACTAGATAGAGTTGACTATCTAGAAGGTCAAAGGCTAGTTGCAAAGCATTTCCAAAAGAAAAGGACCCAAATCATAGGTTCAGGCTACAGAAGAGATTGAGAAAGTTAAGTCAATGCTGGTGAGTATGTTGGTAGCCTGTTTTAGGAGAATCAACATCTTTAGAAAGTGTTGACAATAAACTTTTTATAGGGAGAAGTTTCCCTTTCATCGACCCTCTTGGCTCTTGTTCAACTATATAGTGAAATATTTCAGCCTGCACATAGTTAAGAAAGCACTTGAATTTTTATGTAATAAGAGAAAGTGCTTTGAAAGGGGAGAAGGGACAGTTCCTAGGGTTCTGTAAGGATGATTTTTCAAAATAGTTCAATATTGATGCTTAAAGATGAGCTACAAAAGAACACCTATTTTGTAGCCTTTCTGAAATGTACGAAGGTTGATGTAAATGTGATACTTAAATGTAGAAAACAAAGTAAAATCATTGTAAAATCTGTGGTCAAAGATCTTTATTCTTCTGGTTATGACAATGTCCTACAATATTACAATAATACGACAATACTGGTCCTACAATACTACCATATTACTACTTGTACTTAGTGGTCTTTTTTTTCTTGACTGAAACCCTTAAATTTTAGGTATTTGGGGATTTAAACACCACCTGGCTCAGTCTGGATGCAGTTAAACGTGTCAGTGCAATAAAATATGTAAAACAGAATAAAGGCATGAGGCTTTGGCAGTACAATCTCATTGAATAGACATTTAAATTCATAGGCAAGATGTAGCCCATTTCAAACCTAAAATATTGTCCTCCAATACCAGAGTCAAAAAAGCTGTTCTGACATAGAGATCAAGGGGCAATGTTTTATAGGTTTTTTTGTTGTGTGTGGGCTGGGAAGTGGGAAGATAGTATTTGTCCAAGTAAGCTCAAATCTGAAACAAAATTTAGCATAGGAAAACACTGGATATTTGGGTCCCTACTAATCTTTCTGTGGAAAGTACAATATCACTAGTGGTCAAACTATTTGAATAAAAGTGCTCAGTAGTGAAGATGGCTAAAAACTGTTCATTTTATTTGCCTATAGAAAAAAAAGTGAGTAACTTAAAAGTATTTGAGGCTTCTTGTGATTTAGAACATACAACTTTTATCTAGGTTCAGAATGGAGCTCTGCCAACTTCAAGTTCTGAAGAAGCAAAAGTAAAAAAAAAATCAGTTCATATATGTATGTATATATATAAAGTCTTATGTGAACAAGCTTTAATATATAATATGTAATAAAGTACCTCCAACACGTAAAGATCTTGTGTTGTTCTCACTTTTCAATGCCAAAGACCCGTTTAATCTGTTTGTTTTTGAAAGAGAAGAATCTAGAGTTATAGGGTAACCTCAGAACCTTAGGAATTTAGTAAATTTTAAGAAATTTTCTTATGGGACATTTATCAGCACAGTTAATGGTCAACCCATGATGATGTTCACATAAATGATTGTACTGTCCACAAAACAAAGAATGTGACTAAATAAAATTAGTGAAGCATTTTTAAGAGTCATTTTTCCAGGAGAGACCTACCTCATTTGTTCCCAATGTCTTCATCTTCCTGCACTATTTGAAAGTCAATTGAGCAATATAGCAAGGGTCCAGGAGGACCATAGGGCAGAACAAAGCTGTATTCTGGGCATAGTGGCAGGTGACGCAGTGGAAAGAATCCCAGGCTGGAATCGGGAAATGTGTCTTTTAGCACCAGCTCTGTCATTAATTCACTGGGTGTCTCTGGGCAAGTTTCTGGGTTGTTCTTGCCTGTGTTAAAATGGAGCAATTGCTTCCAGTATTTTTTTGACACACATAAAAAGTCCTTTTGTGTGTACTTTTTTGGTATATTGACTTTGTCTTCTCCAGCAACTGAAGGTATGAACTGAAACTGCTGAAGTCTTTCTGTGGGACCTGTATTCATCTGCTTCAAGTCTTTGAAACTATAATGTTTCCAGGTCCTCTGTTCTCCCTAGCAGGGCTGGCTGTAAGATGCAGCAATCCCTAAAATTCATTGTCTATACTTTATTCATTCATATTTTCACCCACCTCCCTGTGTAGCTCCCAAAGCTGGATCTATTTAACTTCCTGACCTCAATAACTCATGATTCAAAACACGGAACATAGTAAAATATGACCGTGATGTATGTGTCCTGTGAATAGAAAAGAATTATTTGTGATTTTATTGGTGGTGGGCAATATTCATTGTGTAATTTTATAAAGTGCAATTCAATTATACAAGTACTAAAATGCATTTGCTGACATTTTACAGTTCTTACAGATTCTGTTCATATATTTCTGGTGTCCAACAAAAGCATTCTAATCTAAGTCACCATCATCTTTTGCCTTCATTACAGAAATGGTGAGCCACCCTGGTGGTATATTGTATTTTCCACAGTTGTTGCTGCTATATCTCATGCCACAAATACTCTTTTGCAATGCAAGTTTGTTTTTCTTCATTGAGACTTTATTTTTCTACCCTTTTAAATTTGAGTGAGCTCTTTGACCACATAGACCGATGAATATCCATGAAGTAATCAAATGAGTTTCAAGACTATCAATGGCTAACGATTCCTACCTCTTGTCTTTTAGAAATGAGCATCCATGTAAGAAGCACAATGACCCAAAAATGGTAGCTTGTGAAAAGCCCACCCCACAGGAATAGGCCCTGGAAAAAGAGATACCATATAGAGAAAGAGAAATGTCAAGGAGCCTTTGGATCACACAAGTGTATGAAGAAACCATCTTGGAAATGGATCCTTCGGCCCTAGTGGTCTCATAAGCTGATGTTTTGTAAATCAGAGATTAAACAATAGCTGTGTGCTTCACAGAATTCCCAACCCATGAAATAGTGAGCAAATTAATATGTATGGTTATTATTTTGCAAAAAATTTGATTAAAAAATGTTATTATACTTGAGGTAACATGATTGCAACAGTGTTAACATTTGTGCTTTTTGTGTCCAAAGTTAACTTATCTATACCAACACCAGAGTTCCAAAGATCCTCCATCCTTACATCAATCACTATTGATTCACCTTTTTCCCCACTTTTCACCTTGTCCTCAAGGTCTCCCTCCATCTTCTTCTTACTGCTTGGTAACCTCAGTCCTACAGTCCTAGTCCAAAGGTTTATTATAAGTAAATACTAACCATTTCCTCACTTTGTTTCTTTGCATATCACAAAATATGGCTACTTATAGCACTGAGTTATGGATATCATCACACAGCAACAGATAATCAAAACATCATTGATTTTTATTCTTATCTTTCAATGACCCATTTTCTTTGTAAATCTGAAACAAAATTCAGTAAATCCTCATTGGGGCAGTGATACTTCTTACTCCATTGTAACAGACTATTCAACTATTTCCAACATAGTTTTTGTTTGTTTTTGTATGTTTTCTTAGTTGGGGGCCACACCTGGCAGTGCTCAGGGCTTACTCCTGGCTTTGTGCTTAGGGAACACTTTTAGTGGGATCAGGTGTATAAGACAAGCACCCTATCCACTGTCTAGTGCTCCTCCATCAGATATTTTAGCTCCTTCAATAATCTGTCAGTAAGTACCAAGTAGGTATAGACTGCAAGGAGCTTGAGAGCTATCTTACAACATCTCCAGTTCCTCATGAAAAAGAAAACACATTTTTCTTTCTATTTTTCCAGAACAGAGGTTTTAAGCTGGTACTAGACATGGATTGGGTCAATAGCTATACTTTTTTCAGTCTGTGCAGGTTTTATAAAGACTAGAATTGATTGCCAAGCCAGTACCTGAAAACTGATCATTAATAAAAATTTCAGAACCAATGTTACTTAAAAATTATATTTAAAATTCCTTAAAAGAGGTTGACCCTTCTTGAATTTTTGGAATATTTATTATTCCCCAGGCTGGAGTGATAGCACAGCAGGTAGGTCATTTGCCTTGCACATGGCTGACCCAGGTTCGATTCCTCCATCCCTTACAGAGAGTCCAGCAAGCTATAGAAAGTATCCCGCCTGCACGGCAG